AGAGTCGGGCCCAGAAGGACGAGGTTCTTTGATTTTTAACTGATTTCTGTTGCATCACACTGGCCCCACTTCCCTGTCAGTGTATCCCTCCTCCAATAACTAGTTCCCTGATTAAGTGTCGCCTGTGGGCTGAGGCCCAAACAGAACATCAACATGTGTTTCAGTCTGAACATGAACCCTCATCTATCTATCTCTATCTATCTCTCTATCTCTCTATATCTATCTATCTATCTCTATCTCTCTATCTATCGCTATATCTATATATCTATCTACATCTATCTCTATCTATCTCTCTATCTATCTATCTATATCTATCTATCTATCTCTCATCTATCGCTATATCTATCTATATCTATATCTCTCTATATCTATCTCTATCTATCTCTCTATATCTATCTCTATCTATCTCTCTATATCTATCTATCTATCTCTATCTCTCTATCTATCGCTATATCTATATATCTATCTATATATCTCTCTATATCTATCTCTATCTATCTCTCTCTCTATCTCTCTATATCTATCTCTATCTATCTATCTCTCTATCTATCTATATCTATCTCTATCTATCTATCTCTCTATATCTATCTATCTCTCTATATCTATCTATCTATCTATCTATCTATCTCTCTATCTATCGCTATATCTATCTCTCTATATCTATCTCTATCTATCTCTCTATATCTATTTATCTATCTATCTATCTCTATCTCTCTATCTATCGCTATATCTATATATCTATCTATATCTCTCTATATCTATCTCTATCTATCTATCTCTCTATCTATCTATATCTATCTCTATCTCTCTCTCTATATCTATCTATCTATCTATCTATCTCTCTCTCTCTATCTATCGCTATATCTATCTATCTATCTATATTTATATATCTCGCTTTTAAGGGTTGTTTCTGGAAACGTTTACCAAAGAGCCGACGGCCCGTAACAGCCGCTCGTTTTACTGGACGGAGGTGGAGTGCTGACTCCAGCTGTGAGTGAGGAGCTGTCTGTAACGACTGGAAGGATGGAGATGTGCGTGGTTATTCATCTGCCTGCTCGTCTGTTTCATGGCCTGTTACACTGGCTGCAGTCCGTGGATCGTCTCTGTGTGATGAGCTCGGCTTTATTAAAGTGTAATGAGTGACGGCGCTGCGCTGCAGGCCACAGCAGAGCAACCTCAGATAACGTCAGGTTGGATTTGGTGCCTTACAAACCGCTGCTGCAACAATCTACATAATTGACGTATTTCTCGTGACCGGCGGCGCCCACAGCTGACCCTGAACAGATTCATGACCAACACAAACAAACTGATATTAAAGGAGCCGCTCGAGGCTAAAACGTGTTTGAGAACAAACCCGGCCACTAAGACTCTGGGAATCTCCGAGGCGAACGCCTCCGCCATCTCTCTGCTGCCCACGTTGGCGATGCAGTGCAGAGCCAGGTTCATGAAGGTGGGGTTGCGGCTGGCGAGGTCGTTCTTGATGGCGTTGTTGATGAGGCGGATCAGGTCGCTGTTGGAGTTGACCAGCACTGAGATGAAGAGGTAACCCTGAAAGGAGGAGACACGGCAAAGGTCACGTGACGGGATGTTCTTCCTCTCTCTCTGGAAATCCACAAACACACACAGCAGAGCCGGAGCGTCGCCACCACCCACACGGAGCAGCTGGAGGCGTGGCCTGTTACCAAAACATCAGCTGATCCCAGCTGCCCTGACGATCATCATTTATCAAACTCATGCTAGTCTCATGCTTAAAGTATTTTTACTGGATTACTCGTGTAACTGAACAGTCGTTGAGGCTTTGGAGGACTCCACGCCGTGCTGATCAGCCTCCACGCCGTGCTGATCAGCCTCCACGCCGTGCTGATCAGCCTCCACGCGCTCACTCGTTTCCTTTAAGGAAACAAAAACTGATCAATGAAATAAAACTGATCAGAAGCTGATAAACGACAGCTGCCCCACGTCAGGGTCGCAGAGATAAAAATTTACATTTTTGTAGTTTCTTCTGTCACACACACTTTAAGTGGAGTCTGGTGAGTTTAGAGCCTATGGCGCCTGCAGCTCCACCTGTAGCTCCGCCTGCAGCGACTCAGCAAGATGCCCGCCAACAGCTCTGAAGCTCAGCACAGACCCTCAGAGACGCTCGGAGAGCTCAAGTCAAAGGCAGCTAGCTCTGTCTGACCCAGAGTTACGACCACAGCGAGTTTGGGCTTTGAGAGACGGGACAGGGCGCGCTGCACTCGAGAAAACTAAACGAGAAATTAAAGCAGAGCAATAATCATTTATCTTCTCTCATTATCGCCGGAAGCCTAAAAGTCACAGCTGGAAATAAAATCTAGTCTCTCGGAGCTGAAATGATTTGAGCCGATTCACTTCGCTCTCATCCAGAACACTGTTGGTAAAGTTGTTATTACACAGTTATTACTGCCTGCTTCATTAGAGGTTAAAAAAAACACCAGGACGCCGCGAAAGGGAAACGAGCGTCACTGCAAGAAAAACATTTGGAACAAACATAAAATGTGTTTATCAACCCAGAAGCAGAGACCACAGAGCGGCGTGAGGGGGCGGTCCTGACGCTCTCGCACGTGATAACCCTGAAACATGGCGGCCGAGCGGCTCCGACACTCACGATCTGCTTCTCCGTGTACTTGTTGGAGCTCAGGAGGTTGACGGCCTCCATGTGCCCGAAGTCGATGTCGTGGCCCAGAAGGAAGATGAAGAGCAGCTTGCAGACATACTTCTTTTTACTGTAGCCGTCCAACGCCTTGTCTCCTGCACGCACACACACACACACACACACTTTAATGTCTGTGTGATAAACAGCAGCATTTTATTCCAAACAGCTGAGGCTCGGAGGGAAAAGCAGGTGGACTTCTAGTCAAATAATGCAAAGCCAGTGAGAGTGGGAGGTTCAGCATCTGCAGCAGTGCAACATCAAACACACATAATCTTTATTTTTGCAGGACTGGGCTTTAATTCAATGTTTGGAAACATCATCATCCAATAAAACTGAAGAAAGATTGTTTTACGCCAGCCTCAGCACTTCATGGATGAATGCACAGTTGCAGAGACATGTGGACACAGTGGAAAGGCCGGGTGGAGAGGGTGGAGAGGGCGGAGAGGAGGCGCTATGTGGACACTCGCTGCCTGCATATCGCCTCCTCTCTGCAGACTAATTATAGGCAGCGAGCAACAGGTGGCAACAGGAGAAACAGCAGCAACCAGAGAGTCAGTGAGGTTTCACAGGGCAACACAAAGCAGTCGGGACAGGAAGCAGGAAGCACGTCAGGTGACTCGGCGAGCTCGTTTCTCCATCACCTACCTTTAAATTTGGAGCGGATGTTTGCCAGCTCCTTGTTTATCCTCTTTATCTCGGCCTCTTTACTTTTACCTGCAGACAGATCAGCGTTACTCAGCATGCACAGAGCTGCGATCACTCACGAATACAACATCCTGCCTTTTTTAAAGGACCCGCCCACGCTGAGGAACGTGGCGTCCGGGTTTAATCGCACACTACAACATAAGAGCTTCCTGATAAAGCAGTGACATATCTTTACTTTATTATCTCCAGAAGCAGGAACCTCAGGCCGCCTGTTTTTGCAGCGTAGACCTGATGACGCTGCAGGATCGCACAGAGCTAATCCTCCCTGCTT